AAGCTAATAGAATGTAAAAGGTCTTTTATAACTATATGGGGTCGGTGACAATGAACTCCTCTACACAATTTATCAAATCAAAGCAACGTCTCAAAACCCGAAAGAAACCATTAAAAACAGTCTAGAAGAAATTTCTCCATATTTTTAAATTGCAAAATTCAATGTAGCATAAATCAAATAAACCTCAACCCTACACAACTTCAAAGAAAAAAAAAAGAAAACAATATCCACAGACCACCAGCGAGAGGACAACTGTTTTCTCCATTGTTTGCATATCATGACCATAATTAATCTAAAAAGGAGTTGATGGAAAAGCTTGAAAGGCAGATAGTTGCATCTGGTGAAGCTTGAAAAACAAAAAGACTATATTTAGGACAAGGAAAATTTGCTTCACTTTTTTTTTTTTGGTAACAATTTGCTTCACTTCTTATCAGTACATACTGTAATCTCCTGTCCCTTTTTTTTTTTTTTTTCGGTTACGAGAATCATAAGTCCCTTCAATACAATCATAAGAGGGCAACAAGAATTCAGACAAAACCTTTATCAAATTTTTTGCCATCTGGATCCACTTTCTCAATGGTGAAAATATCATCAAAGAGGAAATCAACCATTCTTACAGAAAGTTTGTCCTCAACAGCAAAGCTATACCTACATAATAGAGAAAGAAAAAGAAAACATATAAATAAGAAAAAGTCTCATAAACAGAAAGGAACTACAGGATTTAAAATCAAATAATTATTAAAAGAAACTCTCAATAAGATTATGAACAAAGTCTAGGGTTTAGGGTTTAGATAATGACATATTTCCTTAGAATAAAAATTATATTTCGTTTTTTTATTTTATTTTGGTTTTTCTAGGATTTCTACTTTTCTGCTGTAGTTTTGTTAAGCCATGGATGAGACTGAGAGAGCTTCATAAACAGTGAAAACGAGAAGGAGAAGAAGCAGAAGCAGGGACTTACTGTGGAGTTGGCTTGGAAGCTGGGCTCTTCCTTGGTCAGACAGAGAATAAAACCTTTTTATTTTGAAAGTCTAGGGCTTATTATTATATGCGCGGCCCAAGCTAATAACCCAAAACGATTCGTTTTAGCCCTCCAAAGCGAGCCCTTTTCCGTCGCTCACCGACTCACTCCGTCATTTCATCAAACACCTCCTCCGCCCTTTCGCGCCTCACTCTCTCTCTCTCTCTCACACAAAGCCATGTTTCGAAGGTACTGGAAATCCTCAGGAATCTCTCTATCAAATTACTTTCAGCGACGCCAATGCCTCTATTGACACTCTGTTTCTTCTTTGTTCCACAGATCAATTTTGCAAATTTCGTGTCGTCGTGGACTTAGGAAGATTCCGAGGTCGATTTCAACTCAGGCATGTAAATTTCCACTTGATTTAGAGCTAGTTAGTGTATGAATTTGGTGATGCTTTTGTTGATAATAACACATAGGGACTTCAAATTTGCAGCACGTTTCGAGATTTCTGAGAAGGGAATTCTCCGCCGCAGCGTCCAAAACTGCGCCGCAGCAACCTGGTGGTGCAGGCAGTTTGCCGCCGCCGCCGCCGCTGGAGAACGGCGGTTCGAGCGCCAAAGTTTTCCTTGGAAGTGCTGTTGTTGGTGCTGGGCTTGTGGGAGCTTACAAAACTGGGTATCTAGACTCAATTTTCGGTGCAAAAGAGAAGATTGATTCGCATAAGGAAGCTGGAATTGGTGTGGAGGAAAAACTTGTGGAAGAAGAAAAGCACGATGAAGAAAAAGCTGGCAATGTTGAGGAGAAGATTGAAACTCATTCAGATGTTGCTCATGTTGAGGGTTTGAGTGGAAGAGATGGTGAAGAACATTCTCAGGTGGATGATAATAAATCTGAGAGTGACATAACAAGTGAGAAAGGTTTGCCTGAGTTTTCCCAAAATGCAAATCTTGGGTTATCATCTGAAGGGAATGTAGATGTGAAGAGCACAGAGGAAAAAACTAGTGTGGAGATAAATGAGGAGGTACAAACATCGCCAATAGTTTCGCAGACTAATGCAGATCAGCAGCAAGAAAATGAGGTGAAAACATTGCCGCATCAACAGGATATCACAGAAGACAAGGCAGAGGTAGTTCTCATTTAGGTTCCTTTTAACAAGCTGAATACTTGTGGATACACTTGTGAATGCTAGAATTTTAGGCTGCACTTATCAATGAAACTTGATACATCACAATAATTATGTTAACATTGTCATTTAGACTTTAACATCAAAGGGGAGCTTATTTTGAATGGTATTTATATGAAGTTGCTTTTGGTGGAACTTTGTTACAGGTTGCATTAGGTAATAATGAAGAACCATCAGGTTCTCTCCTCAAGACATATAATCTGAGCGATGAGGCTGATAAAAGCATCACAACCAACTCTAACAATGAAAACGATCAAGTTTCTAAAGAAAAAGAGGTAGTAATCAGCATTTATTTTATTTTACTTTTGTTCTCTTCTATGCATAGTGCTGTTGCAATGCCAAAAGAGAATGTCCAATGGAACTCACTAAATTCTGGTTCTCTGAATAACAGGCTCTCGTTGATGCAATTGAAGGGTTGAATGATGCTTACATATCCAAGGATGGAAAGCTAGTTCTTGACTTCTTACAAGCCATTCATGCTGCTGAAAAAAGGCAAGCTGAGTTAGACGCTCGTGTTTTTTCTGAAGAAAAGAGAACGTTAAAGGTTTCTAATATTACTTACAAGAATTTATTATTCCCTTGCTTTAAAATGGTCGACTAAAGTGTTGTTGAGAGCTCTGTACTATTCATGAATTTGACCACCTACCTCATCACAGGAGAAGTATGAAAAGAAACTAAAGGATGCTGGGGTCAGGGAACTCATGCTTGCAGAAAAGGCAGCAATGCTAGACAAGGTTAAAGAGCTCTCTTATATATCTTCTCTTTGTTTTATTTTCAAAGACTATCTTCTTGTTAGAGAGAGGGAGAGGGAGGGGGGTGGATTTTTGCAATCATGTGCTTTAATTTTGCGTCCCCCGTTACCTCATTCCATCAATTTGATTAGTAAAACCGTTAACTTGCTGACATGGCATTGCTAATTTAGTATTTTAGCTATTAAAAAATTTCAAAATCTAAATTAAATATAAAAACTAGTTTTAAGACATTTTAATAATAAATGAGATTAGACAGATTTAAAAAAAAAAGAGAGGCCCCAGCACCACCACACCTCCCACCGCCCTACTCTCGCCCCCACCCGGCCTGCACTCCGCCATGGTTCAAATATGATCTCCCCACCCAGGTGATATACCCACACCAAAACATTGATAACACTCCCTCCAATCCACCTAGCCACCTTCACCCCCCAGCCATACTCACCCCTAGCCGCCACCCCAAATTCACGCCCAACCTCAATAATCCAATCTGCCCCAAGCCTTAGCCACCCCAACAGAGTACCCAAACACCAAAACCCCAAGCCACAGCTTCTCTTTTCTTTTCCAACCAGGTTTGATTTCATGCGTGTCCTTTTCCCATATTCTCTGTGCAGTCATGAAGAACTTTATTTTGATTTTCAATAGTTTTTTACCACGGCGGAGGAGAAACCAGAGTGGCGAGATGGGGAGGGAATGGTGGCCATGGGTTGGGGCCGGTAGTTGGCCATGGGGAAGGGTTGGGTTATGGTGGGAGGTGTGGTGGTGTGGTAGTGGGGCTATTCGGGTGCTGGGTTTTTTTTTAAAATTTTTATCTTTCTAATCTTATTATTATTAAAATGTTTTTAAATTGTTTTTTAAATTTAATTTAGATTTTGAAATTTTGTAATAGCTAAAATTACTAAAATACCTATGCCACATCAGCAAGTTAACGATTTTACTAACCAAATTGACGGAATGGGGGAACGGGGAACGAGGGACACGGAAAGAAAGCACAGGGGGCATATTGACCCAGTTTGAAATGTAGGGGGTAAAGTGGGATTTTTGGTGAAGCACAAGGGACACATCGATGATTAAGCCTTTTTTCTTTCTTTATGGTGCATCAGCAGATGATGACTGGTAAATTGAAGTTGATAATTTTAAGTAAATGCAGGAAAATGAAGAAGAAATGAAGTTAAAAAAGGTTGAGGAATTAGCAAAAGCAGAACTGGCAGCAGCCATTGCAAGTGAGAAGACAACCCAGATTGAGAAAATGGCAGAAGCAAATCTTCACGTAAGATGACTGCTCAAATCACCTAAGAATGGATGAACACACCAAAATGTGGATTTATGGTCCTAATTTGCTGTTGATTTATATTTGAACTGTCTGGAAAAAAAGGGTTTTAGTGAAAATGCTAATATTTTGAGGGGATTATTTAAAACCAGAAAAATAGAGGTGGGGATGCTTCATAGTGTTGCCTATAACAGTTGCTTAATAGAATATTGCTCAGAAAATGAACTCACTTCACCCATATGTGATGTAAATTCCCACTTCATTCAAGCAGTCAAATACAATCAGTCGTAGTTATGTTAGTGGCTACTTGAACTTTGTAGTTTAGGAAAGGAACAAAACAATAAGGAGGAGGGTGATAGATGCTGGGATACAAATTTTTTATTTTTTTATTTTTTTGTAGATCCATTTTGCCCATGTTCAACATGAAGGAAATGTAATTCCAGTTTGCAGGCCACATTAAATGGTGTAAACTGCTCTAAATATATAAATGTGCTTGTAGTTTTGCTTGCTTTTTCTAGATTATAAGCCTCTGTATGTCAAAAAGTGAATTAACTGTATATCTGTATATCAAAGTTTAGTAATGAAGTCATACTTAATGGTCCACATATGACCTGTTCAGAGGGTTAATTCATGTAAACTTCAATTGTATACAGCTTTGTGATAATTACTGATGAATCTTGCTTAAATAGTTCTATGTTGGGTGGTGCATGGTACGTTTGTCTGTATTAATGTCTCTAATAATGACTAATTGGTCCATTACGAAATCTGATGTTTAAGTTCTTTTTATAGATAAATGCCTTGTGTGTGGCATTCTATGCAAGATCTGAAGAAGCTCGTCAGACTCACTCTGCTCACAAGCTTGCTTTGGTGAATATTATTATTCTTTTCATTGACTTCCAACTTTTTATTTAGAAGATAACTTAATGTGTTTATACCCTCATCAGTGATTTTCTAAGCCTGTAAGTTACTTCTTAACAATGATATGTTTTGTTGTTCTTTGCAGGGAGCACTTGCACTAGAAGATGCACTTTCAAAAGGATTACCAATCCAGACAGAAATAGAGGCTTTGCACACTTATCTTGAAGGCATTGATAAAGATTCAATTTTAGATTTGGTCCTGTCATCTCTTCCTGAGGAAACACGAAGGAATGGCACAGATACCTTACTGCAATTGAATCAGAAGGTTAGTTATTTTCTTACTTCATTAAATATTTGCTAATGGACTCACCCTTCGTATGCCGTCAACTATTAACATCCTTCTGTAACCTTTTACTTTTACGATTGAACTTTGCTTTGGTCCACTCTAATTAATGGCCAAGACATCGACCTTACTGCTTTATATAGTTGACGGGAGGAATAATATTCCTCCTAGATAGTTTGAATGCCCAACGTTGACCTGCTAGTAATTCATGCATGTCTAAGTTTTTTGACATAAAGTTGTTAAAATTGTGCTCAAGAGTTGCCTCAGAAGTCATACATAGAGCAACAGGTTATTTATACGTAACATATTCTATGTTACTACTGCATGAAAGATGTCTGATTAGATTTTTGGGTTGAATTGTTCTGTATATAAGCATTCAGAACTGTTGATGAGATTCTGTCTACTCATTTGTTCATTTATTAGCAAGGGTGGCAATTGCCCCATTTGTCATTTTAAAGACATGACTATAGAACTTAATTGGGGCTGATATTCTTAAATAGTTATTGTTGACTAGGATCTCTTTAGTATTTTGCCTTAAATTGTTTTATCATGCTGACTGAAATGCACCGCTTCATATGCTCGGAATTTGGAAACCTTTTTACTCCTTTTCCCTTTGTCCTGGACAAACTGAAGCCTTGTTTCTAATTTCCCTCTCTCTATCTCGTGCGTACTTTTTGGTTGTAAAAATGTGTAAGATTAAATTTAATATGCTTCATTAAGGACGTATTGACTAACATTTCAAGTATTCTCAAATGTTTGTTTGATCACTGGTCTTCTATTTGGTTGGGATATTCAAAAATTTGGCTTAGCGACTTCCTTAATAAATGCATAAAGGATACAGGTTCAGTGCGAGCCATTTTGTGAGTTAATGATTATCCATACGAAAAATATATGAGATATTAATTCAACTTGCTGCAGATACAAGAATTATGGAAATCCTTAGTATGAAATGAGAATAGTTGAGTGCTTCAAGTTCTGAATTGTTAATTCTTGAAATCCTAGTAAGTGGGGTAATACTCAGTGCTGTACTAACTTCATTCTTCTTGCAGTTTGATGCCTTGAAAGGGACAGTACGGCACCTCAGCTTAATCCCTCTTGGTGGTGGCGGCATTTTGGCACATTCCTTGGCACATATAGCATCCTGGTTGAAGGTAAGTAGATAAGCGGCCTGGGTTTTCCATTCTAAATCACTAGTATAAATTAACTTATTCGAATGTTCATTGTACTTGTTTTTGGGATTTTGTTTAGGTAAAGGAAGTTGACCAATCTGGGGATGGAATTGAATCCATCATCAACAAGGTGGAGTCCTGCCTTGCTGACGGGAAAATAGCCGAAGCAGCAGAGGCACTTGAAGAAGGCGTGAAAGGCACCCAAGCAACAGAAGTAGTGCGTGAATGGGTGAAGCGTGCTAGGAATAGGGCTATCACAGACCAAGCTCTTACACTTCTCCAATCGTATGCTACTTCTATCAGTGTCACATAAAGTCCACTTCTTGAGTACGCATACTGAGGCTGCATATTTGATATACATAAAGGTTCTTTGGTCTAGTGTTGTAGCTCCCGGTAATTGCCTGGTTCTGATGTAAACAAACAAATCATAATGTGTTACCGACAGTATGATTGAAAATGTCACTTATTTTTTTGGGGAGGAGGGGGGGTTAATGTCATGGGAAGTTTTCTGAGCAATTGTATTTTTCGTCTTGAGCTTGAGAAGATTATCTGTTACCCCCTTGAGCGGCATTTTGTTTCAAATGCTGCAAAAGAATTTTGCATGCTATAATGGCATTATAGGCTGTAGCACTGCTTCAGAACACAGTGACTAAATTGGCCACCATGATATAACACATGGACTATTTTTGCATTTTAAGCCTTATTGTTACCATTATTATTTTAAGTCAGGCATGTGCATGACACATTACTTTTAATACATATTTCGACAAAGGTCTAGCCTAATGGAAAAGGGCATTGACTTACAGATTAGGGGTATCAAGTTCGAACTTCAATGACACTCTGGTAGTGTGTAAGAGAAACTTTCAACCCTTGTAGTTTAAAATATCGTTTGTATTATATAAAAAAAAAAAAGATATATTTTTTAACGGAATTGGTGTCAGGTGACACAATGATTTTCTTTTTGGTGAAAAATTGAAGCTCGTGTATGGATTAATGTGACATTCAGGTTTACCCATTAGAGGAATAGATTCATTACTCAAGACAACGACAAGCCTTCATGCCACAAGATAAAAAAAACATGCACATTGCACTTCTCACCCAAGCTTCGTCTCAACACTCTTCCTTCTCTAAGTCGAGAACTTCTCCAATCGTATGCTACTTCTATCAGTGTCACATAAAGTCCACTTCTTGAGTACGCATACTGAGGCTGCATATTTGATATACATAAAGGTTCTTTGGTCTAGTGTTGTAGCTCCCGGTAATTGCCTGGTTCTGATGTAAACAAACAAATCATAATGTGTTACCGACAGTATGATTGAAAATGTCACTTATTTTTTTGGGGAGGAGGGGGGGTTAATGTCATGGGAAGTTTTCTGAGCAATTGTATTTTTCGTCTTGAGCTTGAGAAGATTATCTGTTACCCCCTTGAGCGGCATTTTGTTTCAAATGCTGCAAAAGAATTTTGCATGCTATAATGGCATTATAGGCTGTAGCACTGCTTCAGAACACAGTGACTAAATTGGCCACCATGATATAACACATGGACTATTTTTGCATTTTAAGCCTTATTGTTACCATTATTATTTTAAGTCAGGCATGTGCATGACACATTACTTTTAATACATATTTCGACAAAGGTCTAGCCTAATGGAAAAGGGCATTGACTTACAGATTAGGGGTATCAAGTTCGAACTTCAATGACACTCTGGTAGTGTGTAAGAGAAACTTTCAACCCTTGTAGTTTAAAATATCGTTTGTATTATAAAAAAAAATTAGATATATTTTTTAACGGAATTGGTGTCAGGTGACACAATGATTTTCTTTTTGGTGAAAAATTGAAGCTCGTGTATGGGTTAATGTGACATTCAGGTTTACCCATTAGAGGAATAGATTCATTACTCAAGACAACGACAAGCCTTCATGCCACAAGATTAAAAAACATGCACATTGCACTTCTCACCCAAGCTTCGCCTCAACACTCTTCCTTCTCTAAGTCGAGAAAAACTTGTATATCACAGGGATAACAATGTTTTCCTATCCGTAACCAATCACGCTCAGCCACGAGTAATAAGGATTCCACATGACGGAGCATTATTAGATGGGGATAGTAAAACATTGTTATGCCCATGACATGCGAGTGTTTCTCCTCTGAGCCTCCTTTCAAGATTTACTTTTCTATTTATCCCATCAATAAATCGACCAGCACTAAACCGTTTGTTAGGTAAACTGAATGTGGTCGGCATCAAAGCAGAATTTCCTCCACCAATTTGGTCAATTCGATGGGTGATTCCAGTCTCTCAATTCAATTATCTAAACTAAGTCCACTCCTAATTTGTACGGTACTACCAAGCCTCCTGACAATTGAAAGATCTTTTGGCCATAGTTTTTTTTTTAAAAAAAAAAAATTCAAACTTTTGGACATAGTTGTGTGTTATTGTAATGGCGATTTTAGAGGTACTATTGACATTTAATTTTCTCATAACTTTTATATTTAATTTCTTACCAAGTAAGAAATTTTGAGTTCTTTTTTCGGTCGAAAATTTTGTGTTCTTAAAATGATTTTTGTCCTAGGATGGTTATTCTCTCAGCGGTTCAAGACTGGATTAAAGCTTTGACTATCACTACTAAAGCCACTGTGAAAACACAGGTTTTTCTTGCTTGGAGCCCTCCTGTTCATGGTACCATCAAGCTCAATGTGGATGGCTCTCGACAGGCTGCTTCTGGATGTATTGGTGCTGGAGGGGTCCTTCGAAATTCACTTGGAGAGTGGAATGGTGGTTTTGCTATTAATTTAGGGATAGGCCAGGTGCTGGAGGCTGAACTTTGGGGTCTTCTCTTTGGTTTGAAGCTTGCTGCTGATAGTAGAATGTCTAAACTCATTATTGAGATGGATTCTGCTATTGCAGTTCAACTAATCCAACAACACAATCTTCTCCTCCTTCATCCTCTTGCTACTTTGGTGTCCAGTTGCGTGGGGATCCTAAATAAGTTTGAGAGCTATGAGATTTACCATATTTATAGGGAGAAGAACACTGTTGCGGACAGATTGGCTAGTTGGAGTCATAACCTGGATTTGGATTTGTATCTGCTTCATGAGGCTCCTGATTGGCTTGGCTCTGTGTTGGTGGATGACCTACTGGGGTTGTCTAAACCTCGTATGGTGTGTTATTGTAATGGCGATTTTAGAGGTACTATTGACATTTAATTTTCTCATAAATTTTATATTTAATTTCTTACCAAGTAAGAAATTTTGAGTTCTTTTTTCGGTCGAAAATTTTGTGTTCTTAAAATGATATTATTTTTCTACAACTTTTTTTTTAATAAACATTTGTCAAAATTCAAGAAACACGGGTTATTTGCAGCAATGGTCCCTCAACTATGCCCATATTTATAGTTTGGTCACTCAATTCAATTATTAGTTGCAGAGGTCACTCAATTGGGTGTTATGTTGCACCGTTAATCCCTACCGTCAAGTCTCTCTAACGGTAGGGACTAATGGTGCAACACAACACCTAATTGAGTGACCTCTGTAACTATTTGTTGGAGTTGAGTGACCAAAATGTAACTCCGAGTATAGTTAAGGGATCATTGTTACAAATAATCCTAACTGAAAAGTCACATTTGCCCATCAATAATCTAAGATATGCTTGTCACGTCATCATTTTAAACAAAAAAAGTCACAAACTTGACGGAAGGACTAATGGTGCAACAAAACACCTACTTGAGTGACCTTTGCAACTAATAATTGAATTGAGTGACCAAACTGTAAATACGGGTATAGTTGAGGGACCATTGCTGCGAATAACCACAAGAAACACACATTTTATTTTTTATTTTTGGATCAAAGTAAGATAACTTCATTGAATCAACAATGTCATAGTACAAAAGAAAACTGGACCTTAGTAATGTAACAAATGTGGCCTCATTAAAACCTTGCCTTGAAAAACCCCAAATGGGGGAAAATCCGGTCAAGGAAAAAGAGTACCACTACATCACATCCAGCAGAAAATAATTAAGAAAATAATTTGAAGGGACCATTGCTGCGAATAACCCCAAGAAACACGCATGTGCCTGAAATTATTAATTAATAAATAAACTTAGCGCAAATGTCACATTCCTAACTTACCTGCAGCATTACACATGAAGAAACATCCGCGTCTGACAATCGGAAACTTGCTGATTGGAAATTGTATATCACTTGACAGCGAAGATGACGTGGTTGCAAATTACAATCTATAATCATTGATTCGTTTCAAAAGATTGAAGATTCATAATAATCTCTTTTTGCATCCATCTCCTTTGCATCCATTTCCAAAATGACAGAAAGATGTCCCAAGAAACACACATGTGCCTGAAATTATTAATTAATAAATAAACTTAGCGCAAATGTCACATTCCTAACTTACCTGCAGCATTACACATGAAGAAACATCCGCGTCTGACAATCGGAAACTTGCTGATTGCAAATTGTATATCACTTGACAGCGAAGATGACGTGGTTGCAAATTACAATCTATAATCATTGATTCGTTTGTTAGTGTGAGAGTTATCAATCTTAATCATAATTGGTGAGAAATCAACTCGCATGAAAACCATTTTACATTAAAAAAATGAAAAGAACATGGCCCTCACCCATGGGCTCCACTGCCACTCACAAAAATATTTATCAACACACCAACAACTAGTTGATCCTCTGGTTTTTATTTTTTATTTATTTTTTGGGTAATGAAGGAAATTGTTACTACTCACTTCTAATCAGGGTGATTTGTTCCAGTACTAATAACATCGAGACATTTTGTATAAAATACTACGTATGTTGTGACGTGCATGTTTTTAAATTACGGACAACATCCATGTAGCGAGCCATTAGAATGAAATTCTTCCATTTCAGCTTTTATCACAAGACTGCCTGGTACTGGGTCTCAATCATTTTCCCAGGTCCTACAAGAAAATGCTAACAGACAAGAGGAATTATTTGATTTAGAAATTTTTTTTAAAAGACTTCCAAGCTTTCACTTTGGATTTACACAAAGTCCTGCTGTCTACTCAATTAATTGATTGCTACAATCAATACCCAACTAGTTTTCAAGTCCTGACTTACTAGATTCTGGCTGTAAGAAAGCTTAGTAAATGGGGTATTTGTAGGGTTCAAATGGTTGGGTAAATTGGCAGATAAAATAAAACTGGATTTTTCTATTTTTTTTTATATATTTATTTTTTACTATGAGGCTGCTAATAAGAGTGGATAATTTATGCCAACATGGTCTAACTCAGTGAAAAAGGATCTTGACTTGTAGATTAATGGTCTTTTGTTCGAATTCCCATAACACCGTGATAGCGTGTGTGAGAAATCCCCCTCACCCCTCTCATTCAGACTATCGCTTGTATAAGGCATGTGGTACATAAGGAAAGTTTAGCTAGTATGCCAAAATGCTGAGTTTTCAGTTAGCTTAGCACAAAAAATAAGAATTGTTGAATATTAATTAGTTATAGTTGTATCCTTATTAGTTGTATCTTACTTGGCTATGCCAATGCCACTAATTGCCTTTTATTGATAAAATAATAAATTGCACACATAATTTCCAGCCAACTAAGAAAGAGAAAGAGTATCAACAAGAGAGAGAGAGAGAGAGAGATAGGATGAATCTCTTGATTTTCCATTTGGCTTGGCTCA